TCTTAATAGGCACAGGGAGATGATGGGTCCAGATCCAAGCCAAGTAGGGACAGAGAACCATGCACGAATTCAAATTTAGAATAATAATGATAAAACAGTAGCTCCCACTTACCCAGAAACGCTTTGCATCACGTCCTACGCATTTTATTTTATTGAGATGAAATCTTGCTCTATTGCCAGGCTGGAGTGCAGTGGTGGAATCCCAGCTCACTGCAACCTCTGCCTCCCAGGTTCAAGCAGTTCTCCTGCCTCAGCCTCCCGAGTAGCTGGGACTATGCGCCACCACGCCTGGTTAATTTTTTTTTTTTTTTCATGTTTTAGTAGAGACAGAGTTTCACCATATTGGCCAGGATGGTCTTGATCTTCTGACTTCGTGTTTCACCCACCTCGGTCCTCTCAAAGTACTGGAATTACAGGTGTGAGCCACCACGCCCAACCTTTTTTTTTTTTTTTGGAGTAAGGTCTCACTCTGCCACCCAGGTTGGAGTGCCATGGTACAGTCACAGCTCACTGCAGCCTCCAACTCCTGGGCTCAAGAGATCCTCCCTCTCAGACTCCCAGTTATCTGGAACTACAGGTGCACATCACCACGCCCAGCTAGTTTTTCTAGTTTTTGAGGAAATGGGAGTCTCACTATGTTGCCCAGGCTGGTTTCAAACTCCTGGCCTCAAGCGGTCCTCCAACCCCAGCTTCCCCAAAAGTGCTAGTATTACAGGTGTGAGCCACAGCACCTGGCACATAACTCTTTACAGACTTCATCTTGTTAAAGCTCAGCAAAGCCTGCTGGCCTATCATCAGCCTTGACAGGAGAAAATTATAATTTCAGAAATGTGACTTGCCCAAGGTCACACAGCTAAGAAGTGGTGGACCTGAGACTCCAGGCCCACGTTCTGAGGGACTGAGTTTTACCGCCTCTGACTGTTATTGAGCCACATGTCCCTTCAGCAGCTGCCCCGTCTCCTGGCAGCATGCATCCTGAGCCAATGCCTCCTTCCAAGTCTCAGATGAGGGAAAAGGAGGCCCAATTCAGCCACTGCCGTCTCTTCCCGTCTAATTGCTAAGGACAGAGCTGAGAAGTCACTGCCCTGAAGCTGACAACCTTCCCTTTCTGTGGAGTTTTGCGTTTGTATTTAGCTGTGCTTTATTTTTCTTGATTCACACTATGGAGCCGGTCAAAAATATTTTCTGAGGGCCTACTCTGAGTCATTGACTCGTGGTGTCTGTTCTCAAGTCGCCCAGGGTCAAGTGAGTCAGCTGTGGGCAAATGAACCCAGACGCTGGATTTCACTGAAAAGTAAACACTGCAAGCACTGGGGGGAAAATGTTGGTTTCATAGATACGTAACTTTCACACGCAGCCTCCCTGCATTCCTCCCCTTCTTCCTCAACCTCTCCCCCACCTCCTTCTCCCTTTCCCTCCTTCCTTTTCTTTCCACATTGTCCCTTTTCTCATCTCGTTCTCCCTCTTTCTTTTTTTTTTTTTTTTTTTGAGATGGGGTTTCACTGTTGTAACCCAGACTAGAGTGCAATGGCACGATCTCCGCTCACCGCAACCTCCACCTTCTGGGTTCAAGCAATTCTCCTGCCTCAGCCTACCATGCCCAGCTAATTTTTGTATTTTTTTTTTTTTAGTAGAGATGGGGTTTCACCTTGTTGACCAGGATGCTCTCGATCTCTTGACCTCGTGATCCATCCGCTTCGGCCTCCCAAAGTGCTGGGATTATAAGCATGAGCCACTGCACCCAGCCTCTCCCTCTTTCTTTATTTTCTTCGGTCTTCTTTCTCCTTCTTTCAAACTCCTTTTTCTCCTGTTCCCTTCTCTCTCTTATTTCTTTCTCCAACTCCCTCTTTTTGTTTTTTGTTTTTTTGTTTGTTTGTTTTGAGACAGAATCTTACCCTGTTGTCCAGACTGAAGTGCCATGGCGTGGTCTCGGCTCACTACAAGCTCCGCCTCCCAGGTTCAAGTGATTGTCCTGCCTCACCCTCCTGAGTAGCTGAGACTATAGGCATGTGCCACCATGATCAGCTAATGTGTTGTATCTTTAGTAGAGACGGAGTTTCACCATGTTGGCCAGGCTGGTCTTGAACCCCTGACCTCGTGATCCACCCATCTTGGCCTCCCACAGTGCTAGAATTACAGACATGAGCGACTGCGCCCAGCTCTTCTTTTCTTTCCTTCTTCTATTCTTTTCTCTTGTTTCCTATATTCTTTTCTGTTTTACACACAGGATTTAGTTTTCGTTCAGGTATGGTGAGACCACATAGCAGAGACGACCACTATTGAAAAGATAGTTTATTATTCACAGTTCCCAAGAGGAGGGGGCATGACAGGCTACACAGGGCAGACGGAGCCAGCAGAGGGCCTTTATCACGGATTTTGTTTTCTCAGTTGATGGTAGCCAAAATAAAATAACAATAATAGGCTGGGCATGGTGGCTCACACCTGTAATCCCAGCACTTGGAGAGGCTGAGGCAGTCGGGTCCCTTGAGCCCAGGAGTTTGAGATTAACCTGGGCAACATGGCAAAACCCTGCCTCTACAAAACGTACAAAAAATTAGCCGAGTGTGGTGGTGCACAGTCCTCCTAGCTGTTTGAGAGGCTGGGGTGGGAGGATCGTTCGAGCCTGGGAGGCAGAGGTTTCAGCAAGCCAAGATTGTGCCACTGTACTCCAGCCTGGGAGACAGAGTGAGACCCTGTCTCAGAAACAGCAGTTATAACAATGTCGTGGATTTTGCTGGAAAGAACAGGTGAGCCAGGGTAGGCAGACTTAGCATTGGCCATTGTGAATGAATTCGGCAGATTCTGGGCTGCAGGAGAGGTCCCTAGCTGTCTGGTTCCTGGCCCTGGGGTGATCTGGAGCAAGGGGATAGGGTCTTGGAGGTAGGAGGTTGATAAATAGACTCCGGATTTGGTTGGTTTGCATATCAAAGGCTCCCTCAGAAGGGAAGTGGTTTGTTCCCTCTAGCAATTACCTAATCCTGGGAGGGGCACTCCCTCCCGGGATCCTCAAGGCCCCCGACAATTCCCAAGCCTCATCAAAGACGGAAAGTTAAAAACAGGACTTGTATATCTTTTTCCCTCTCCTTCCTTCCCCTCTCCTCTTCTCTGTTCTCCCTTCCTGTTTCTCTCCTCCCTTCTGCCTCCCCGAGACCTGTGAAAAGCTCATTGCAAAGGTTCAGGTAAGCAGTCACAGAAGCCCGGTTGAGTGGCTGACAATCAGCCGGGAGAGGAACAGGCAGCGTCACCAACTACTTGGGAGGGAGAACGCTCGTTGACTTGATGAGGCTCCAAAAGCCCCGCTCAGCTCTGCTTGCTGGCCCTGGCTTCGCACCACCACCACTGGGACGCCGCCCCTTCCTTGCTCCCATGGTGGCGGCTGCTGTGTTCCCTGCCCTGCCACTATCCTGTGGGTTGGTTGTTTTGCCCAGGCCTGGAATTACCCAAATCCCCTTACATACATGGCTGCCAATGAGGACCGGGGTAAAAAAGGCAATAATTGTGACAGTAACTCACGGGGCCAGGCCTGACACGTCTCTAATTGCCTGCTAAAATTGTCGCTGTCTCCTAAAGTGCAAATTATCACCCGAAATGACAAGAATAATGAATGAGTAACTCTGATGTAATGCAACAATTAGTCCTCAAAGACACTGTCTAATATGGTAATTCAGAGCACCCACTCCTTGTTATTAAGTGCCTGATAATTATTTAATTATCTATCTGCCAGCATGATTTACTTGGTTTATTTAGCTGCAGATGTGGGCAGGAGCATTCGGGTTTAAGGTCAGAGCAAGCCAGCCCCTCTGCTGGCTGCCACATCGGTTTGCTTGGGTGCTGGAGGCTGCCGCCCGTCTGACTTCCCTAATTGGCTTTGACAGTCCTGACCCAAAGTCAGAAAATTGCTTCTCCACCCCCAGCTCTGGTTCAGGGTCACTCAGGGGCTGAGGCTCTTGAAGACCAGCGCTGAGAGTGCCTGCCTTCCCCAGCCCCTTCGGACCCTCCGACAGGTGATCAGAATATCTGGGGGCAGCCGTTTCCCCCACCAAGCCTGACGTGAGTGTTTACTCTGCCCTGGGCATGGCACCAAATCTTACACAAACATCAGCTCATTTAATCTTCACGATAGTGCCAGGAGGTAGAGACAATTGGTGTCGGCATGTGACGGAGAGAGAAACTGGAACTTGGAGAAGTGAGGTCATTCGCCCAAGGTCCCACGGTGAAGGAGTGGTGGGCTGGGGTGAGTCTCCCTGTCTCCAGAGCCATTCTAGTCTCCTGGACCCTGACAGTGGCAATGTGAGGCTGGCCCCAAAGCTGTTAGTCACAGCCCATCCCAGACCAGTGCATGCCCAGAAGAGTCCGGGCAGGGATTCAGGATGGTTGGTGTCGTGGTCTCCAAATCATAAAATCACTGACGGGGAAAGCAGAAAGAGTGGATCTAACCTGTGTTGGCTCAAGGAATTAACCCAGAGCCAAGAATAGAAGGAATTACAGAGAGACAGACAGAATCTACAGAGGGGGCCACTTACTAGCTGAATGCGCTTGGGCAAGTTCCTTATCCTCTAAAGCCTCAGTTTCCTCATCTGTAAAGTGGGGATGATCAGAATCTGCCTCTGATCACCTGTCGAAAGTACCTCATCATCAGATACTCTCCACCCTGCATCCTGCTGACTTCCTTTACTAAATTTCCTTTCCTCTGATTATCTTGTTCATTTATTTACTTATCCCCCACTCTCCCCCCCACACACGTAGAATATAAACTCCACAGAGCTAGGACCCTGTCTGGTTCATTCCTCCTTCACATTCCCTGCATTGAGCACAAAGCTTAGCATGTCATAGTCCCTCAGTAAATATCTGTAGAACGAATGAACAAATGAAAGAAAAATCAGAAGCCAAGTGGGGTCCCCGGCCAGCCACCTCCTTGCCCGAGTGACTTCCCAGCATCTTTGTGCACAGAGATCCCTACACACCATCTGTCCCGGCCAACAATGCTGATGACCCCTTACCTTCATGCCCATACATTTTCATCACACAAAAGGTCATGATGACCACTCCAGCCTCAGTTGTAATTTCCTTGCTCTTGTGTCTCGGCTGACCTGAGACTCCAAGCATCCACCAGCTTCCTCATTCCACATTTCTGAGGGATACGTCTGATTGGTCCAGGCCACCAGGAGCAGATGATCTTGGCATCCCACACGGCCACATCTGAGCACATCTGCCCAACCTCTACCTTCTAGCATGTGGCTCTGTCTGCTGCTGGAGCTCTCTGTAGCTGCACACTGGCCATGCTGAGAATTAACCTCCCCTGGGAGCCACCTTCGGTAAGGGCTGCCAGGAGTCAGGGGGTAAATAGTCTAGCTCCCTCATGCCTCAAATTGAGATCACATAGAAGTATGAATTACGGACTGTCTCCCCCACCTTCCCAGTATGATAAAGCTCCGTTTCTCATGTAGTAGATGCCATTCCTGCCTCACTCAGATCCCCTCTGAAAGATCAATGTATCCAATCCCCTTGGTTGTACATTAAATGTACATTAAACTAGTAATGGACATTGATAAGTCCAGCAATGGCTGTGGTGACTGTTGGCTGCTAAGACAGCAGCACCTCACAGCTAACCCTGCCCTCCGCGGACAGGAGCTGCCTTACCCGGAAATCCTGTGGAGGGTACATCCTCCCCTCTACACCAATTGGCTACACTGGTGTCATGCAGCCAATAATTGACTATTACAAGGGTATAAAAGGCCAGCCTCTTACTCCAAGGCAGAACAACTCTGGGGTGCAGCTCACACTCCAGAGCTCCTCTGGGATCAACTGGAAGCGTGAGACGTCACCTGAAACCATGTCTTTTACTAGCTCAGGAAACGCAGGGCCAAATCTCTCTTGCTCACTGCTGCATCTCTTGCACATAGTATAGTATTTGTTGAGTTAGTAAATAAATGAACAAATGAGTTCATTCATTCATTCATAGATCTGAGTGAATATATGCATATACCTGTATATAAATGCATATGTGTATGTATGCACATCAATGAATAAATTCAAACTATGTAATTCCCAAATCAGGACCTAAGCACCTCTTTCTAAATTATTAGCACGTACATTCAGTGGTCAAAGATCAGCAAAAAGGGACGGACCTCCGGGCTGGAAGTCAGACGGACGACCTTGGTTTTCATCCTTGACTCACTGGGTGACTTTGGTTTTCCCATCTGTCAAATCAGAAGAGCACATTTATTTTTCTCCGTGTTTTTTTCCCCCATAAACTTAAATGCTATATAAGTTTATGTTGTGTGATTTTTTTAATTTTAAATTTTGATATCATTTTAGACTCCCAGAAAAAATTTTAAGACAGTGTTCCTGGCCAGGTGCAGTGGCTCATACCTGTAATCCCAGCACTTTCGGAGGCTGAGGTGGGCAGATCGCTTGAGCCCAGGAGTTCAAGACCAGCCTGGGCAACATAGCAAAACCCTGTCTCTATAAACATATAAAAGTTAGCCAGCCATGGTGGCGTGCATCTGTACTTGCAACTACTTGGGAGGCTGAGGCAAGAGAATTGCTTAAGCCCAGGAGGCACAGGTTGCAGTGAGCCGTGATCATGCCATTGCACTCCAGCCTGGGTGACAGGAGTGAAACTTTCTCAAAAAGCAAAAATAAAAGCAGTGTGTTCTCTTCTGTCTTTACCCCAACTTGCCCTAATGTTCTTGGTTTGTGGGGTTGAAATCCTCCATTTAAGTATCTGGTGATTGTCTGAAGGAGGGAGAGTGAACGGAGCTGTAGAAAGGAAGTCAGTTTGAGAAAACGCAGAATGGAAATTCACTGGGCTTAGCAGCCTTCAAACATGAGGTGGCGGCGGCAGGCAGACAGCATTCCTCTCCGTCTCTCTCCATGCCTGGTGCATCTGCGGTTTTCTCTTATTTGTGGTCTATCACCTCCTATGCCATGGCAAACAAGAGACTTTATAAATATTTCAAACACTAATAATTTGTGCGGTCCCTGCTTAGACTTTTAAATGAATCTAAGAGCATTTCTCTTTGAGGAACCTGCCAAACTGCAGGCGGGTGAAAGAAATACCACCATCCCCTGTCTGAGCTGGGTACTTGACGTAGACATGGGATCAGAGGCTAGGACTGCAGGTGAGGGTCGCCCCTGTCTCTCCCACACACCTCCCCTACCCCAGCCTCTGCCTGGTCAAGCTCTGCCTAGCAGGACAACGACCAGCCTCATCCCTGGATCCACAGGGTGGGGAGATTCTCGCTGCTCCCACAGATAGAGAAATTGGGGGCTGCTAATTTCACAGTTGCTGTTTTAAGAGCTTTGGCTTTAAGTCGGACATTCCTGGGTTTAAATCCCAGCTCCTCTGCTCATTCACTGTGGTGCCTTGGGCAAGTCACTTCTCTCAATCTTTGTTTCCTTATCCATGAAGTAAATAGTCTCGTGATGAAATTCAATAGTAAGTATAAAGTATGCAAGCTTAACACAGGCCGTGAGCTCAATGCACAGTAGCTAGCATTTTCCCTTTCACTGTTTTTAAGTCGTTTATGATGGCTCAGACATGATAGAAGTTTGTTTATTGTTCACACCAACTACCCAATGAAGCTCCAGTGCTGAAGCCATGGAAGATCCTCCATAAATTTCTTCCTATCCAACATCCAGCAAGCGGGAAGGAGAAGAACATGGAGCATCGTCCAGGAGGGGTTCCTTCTGTCCCTCCCAAACCTCACAGTCTAGGGAGAGAAGAACTATGGAAAACAACAACCCATAATATGCAGGGTGGATTCTCAAGAGAGCAGTAGCCAAAAACAGAGAGAACAGAGAAGGCAGATGTGGTTTTGAAAAGTAGAGAAGATTGGCCGGTTACAGCAGCTCACGCCTGTGATCCCAACACTTTGGGAGGCTGAAGTGGGCAGATCACAAGGTCAGGAGTTCGAGACCAGCCTGACCAACATGGTGAAAACCCATCTCTACTAAAAACACAAAAATTACAGGTGGCATGCACCTGTAATCCCAGCTACTCAGGAGGCTGAGGCAGGAGAATCGCTTGAAGCCAGGAGGCGGGGGTTGCAGTGAGCTGAGACTGCACCACTGCACCACTCCCACCTGGGTGACTGAACAAGACTCCATCTCAAAAAAAAAAAAAAGAAAGTAGGGAAGATCCTGGCACACTGTGCCTGAAACCCTTCAGTGGTATCTCATCATTCTCAGGCGAGATAATGACCTCCATCTCCAGCCTTCACTGGGCATGTAGTTCAGTCCCTGCCAATCCTCTTCCACATGGTAGTCCTGACACTCCAGGCTTCTTTTCATTCAGTTAGTCAACCACAGAATTTACCTTCCAAACCAGGCTACTTTGGGGAACGAAAGAGAATGCTATTAATCCATAAGCCAGGACACAAGGGACTGCCTGGGGTAGACCAAGATAAGCCGTCACCGTACACCATCATTCCTGCCATAGAACCTTTGCACATGCTGCCCTCCCTACTCCCCACTCACCTGGCTAACTGGACCTGAAGCTTCAGCATCCCTTCTTTAGCGAAGCCTTTCCCAATACACCAATTCAATCAGATCCCTTGTTAAATTCTGCTGGAACTTGTTTCATTAGGGGCATTAATATGGATTTCTAAATACATACACGATGGTGTCTGTATTTGACTAACTCTGTTTCCAGCAGGACTAGAAACTCCATGAAGTTAGACACTGTGTCTCTTTTTGTTCACTCTTTATCCCTAATTCTGGCACATAGTAAGCATTCTACAAATGCAGCATTGGAAAGTATCAATAATTGCTTACCTCTCCCTAGAGGGCTCAAAATAGAAACCTTCTGATGTGAGAGGATATTTCAATGTGGTCTAGAAGAGTAAGTAAAGAATGGGACTCCATGGAGAAGCAGAGGAACAGCCTTCAAGGTAGAGGGAATTGCAGTGAATGAAAGGAAATGCCGGACCACGTCAAAGCAGTCACACAACGGCCTGGAGTTGATTCCAAAGTGTGGGAATGAGCTGGAGGGGGAAGGTCAGGTTGGAGAAGCCTTGAGGGCTCAGCAAAGGCCTGACTTCCAACAAGCAATGGGGAGCCAGGGAGGATGCTTACTTTCGGGTGCCTTTGAGAGCCATGCTGTCGGAGGTAGGATACAACCCTCACTTCCTCCAAGTAAACCTAGAGTCTGCTGGCAACAGCAGCTTGTTAAGCTTTTCTCCTTAGAGCACAAATCTGTTTTTGATTTTTAACGTTTTAGAGATGAGGTCTCGCTCTGTCACCCAGGCTGGAGTGTTGTGGTGTGACACCATAGCTCATGGCAGCCTCACATTCCTGAGCCCAAGCGATCTCTTGTTTCTGCCTTCTGAGTAGCGGAGACTACAGACGTGCTCCACCATGCCTGGCTAATTTTTAAAATATTTTTTGTAGAGATGGGGTCTCACTACATTGCCCAAGCTGACCTAGAACTGTGGCCTCAAGCAACCCTTTGCCTCAGCCTCCCAAAGTGCTGAGATGACAGGCATGAACCACTGTGTTTAGCCACAAATCTATTTTTAAGGGAGGCTGGGCATGGGGGTGAGCACAACCACATCTGAGGCCCTTCTGTTCCCTGCAGGGTGGTTTTAAAAACCACAAATATGGCTATTTTTTAAAGCTCTATCCAGGGCTTTCCCCACCAGCTATGGCCCACAGAAAGCAGTTGATGTACTAAGGTCACCCAGCCAGGAATCGAACCCTGGTCCTCAGTCCTGTGTCCTCCCATTGTGCTACTCTGCCTCCTGGGTAGGGCCCAGGAGACGAGGACACCGGCACTGGAGTGGCCCTTCGGAGGGGGTCTTATCTAGCCCTGGAATCAGACAGAGCTATACCTGTCCTGAGTGATGAGCAACTCTCACCATTCCCACGCACACCAAGGGAGGTGGCAGAGCAATTGTCCTTGACAACCTGGTATCCCCCACGAAATCACACCTCCCATTCCCAGAGCATTTGATCCTGTGATCCTTATTCCATCCAAAACCCACATCAACTCTTGGACCTGGACACCATTCTTCTCTTTTATCTTAACGGTAAGGAACTGAGGCTCAGAGAGGTTTGGTAACTTGCCTGAGGTCACACAGCTTGTGAGTAGCTCAATCCAGATCTGAACACAGACGGGACTCCAGAATGTTTTAACCCTGCACCAACCACTGCCAAAAGAAAAATACAGTGTCCTGGGGAGAGTTTCCCTTTCTCCATGGAGACGTATAAGAAACAAAAAAAGGCAGGCATCTTCCAGTCTGAGATGAGCTGAAGAGGGTCCCACCAGACTCAGTGGAAGGGCACGCACGATGACTCCAAGGGGCCTGCCACCACTCAGATTCTATTTGCAGGGCTGTCCCTGTCAGGACCAATGAAACATCATCCAGTTAGCCATGCGGTCCACCTGGCTGTCAGCACGGCATTATTTATAACGCCTAACCCACAGCCAGACTGTGATGAAGAATTCAGCCCTGGCTTCTCGGCAGGGAATGCAGTTGACTTTGGAAACAGCTGTCCTGGCAGGCCCGGTACAGCAAATGTGACTTAGACGTGAGCCCCAGTCTAAGGACTTAGGGTCAGCCGCAACTCCTGCCGCAGGCAATCTGGCAGCCAGAGAGATGGTGGTGGCCAAACTGTTCACATGGGGCCATTTGTGTGCCTGAGAGCCTCAAGCGCTTGTCCAGTAGTTCAGATGATGGAATGTGTATTTCTCATAACGGAATGTGGATTCTAACAAATGTACTCTTCACGACTCAAGGCAGACAAACGCTTTAAGAACTGACCACTCTCTCACCGAATCTCCACAACAACCAACAAGGATGTCTTCTATGCCCCATGATCCCCATTCTACAGTAGAAGAAACTGAGTGTCAGAGCGGGAAAAGGCCCCTACCCTCTACTTAACCTGACTCAATTCACATCCATTCAACTGAAATAAACCTATACAACCCAGCTTAGCACAACCTCACCACCAACACGATACAACCCCATTCAACTTGACCTTATTCAACAAAAACCAACTGCACCCAACAAATTCCAACAAATTACAAGTCGACAGTGGGGGCCCAGCATAAGCTACCCTCCTGCTCAGCTACAGCTGGAGCCTTCAGTCAAAGTTCATTAACCCTTTGCAGTCTTATTTCTACTTCATGTTCTCCATCAAACTGTAAGTTCCTTGCGGACAGAGATTGCATTGCTTTTAGCTCTCTGCCCACCAATCCTGGAAAACAGTGGATGTCCAAATGACTGTGGTCCTCATAGTGTGCTGTACCCTATTTATTTAAATGTATAAATGCGTACTTTCACCAGATCAATCATTCTCAGGCTTCTTTGAACTAAGGGACCACAGTAAAATACAAAACAAATGGTGGTTATTTGGTAATTGTGCCAATGAAATTATTATTACGAGAGAGGGTATTATCCAACAAGGGATCAAGAGAGAGTTTTGAAATTTTCCGATCCACAGAGGCTGTTGTCCCCAAGTCACTAAAAGAAAATGCTGAACAAGGAAACTTATGGAAAAAAACATAGTCGATATGTATGCATCCTCAATTATATGTCACATACGGAGGTAAGTGCTTCACATGTGTCAACTCAATATTTATCCCCAGGACAGTCCTAGAGTTGGGAATCTATCTCTCATTTTATGAACAAGGAAACTAAGCTCCAGAAAGGTGGCATGCCTTGCCCAAGGGCACATAGATAGTAGGTGTCAAAGCCAGGAGTGAAACCTAGGAACGTCTGTGGGTTCTCCTTAAAATCCTCCTCACCCAGGTCCCCAAAGGGGATAAAACTCTACTGTCCTCCAAAACTGAATAAGCTTCACAAATTTCTTCTGCTAGTCATATATTTAAACTACATTTTCTTAATGTCCATCTAATGATACAGAAGGTAGATGAATTTGACATCATTCCTGCCCCCAAGCACTCATAATCTAGTTCAGATGAGACCAGTAACTCCATAAAATAAAGTGTTGTGGCCAGGTATGGTGGCTCACACCTATAATCCCAGCACTTTGGGAGTCCAAGGCAGGTGGATCATGAGGTCAGGAGATCGAGACCATCCTGGCCAACATGATGAAACTCCAGCTGTACTAAAACACAAAAAATTAGCTGGACATGTTGGCAGGTGGCTGTAGTCCCAGCTACTTGGGAGGTTGAGAAAGGCTGTACCCAGGAGGCAGAGTTTGCAGTAAGCCAAGATCAAGCCACTGCACTCCAGCCTGGTGACAGAGTGATACTCTGTCTCAAAAAAAAAAAAATGTTGTGAGGATTCAGGGGGCCAGAGAGGGGAAAAGGCTCTATACACTAAGGAGGTTTGAAGGGACAATGATTTCAAGAGTTCCATTAAACACTAATGGCAAGAAAAAAAGAGATGTTTTCGAAACATTATTTTGGTGTTGTGTCCAAAGTACCTTACCTTCTTCAGACAGAAGAGTTGTTGAAATAGTTTATTAAATTGCACTAGATTGAATTTCATTGGGTTGTGGGACTATCTTGTGCTGGGAGTTGTGTTGACTTGGATTGGCTTGTGTTGGGCTGACTTAGGTTATAGGGGATAAGAAGTGGTCTGTTGCCTCGTGTTGAATTGTAATTTGTGGTAAATTGTAAGTAACTGGAATCAATTGGTTTTTGCTGAATATGGTCAAGTTGAATGGGGTTGTATCTGTCGGTGGTGAGGTTGTGCTAAGCTGGGTTATATAGGTTTATTTCAGGTGGCTTGATGTGGACTGAGTTGGGTTAAGTAGATTTGGTTGGGTTAAGTAGATTGAGTTGGGTTAAGTAGATTTGGCTTGGCCAGAATGAAACTGATTGATATCCATCGATTGAGAAGGGTTTAGAGCCATGTCCCCTCCAACAAAGAGAACTGGAAAGCTCTATATTTAGAGCCAAAACCCACAATGGAGGGAGCCATTTAGCATTTGAGGAGACGTAACCCAAACAAATGGTCTTTCCACCTCTGCTAAAATCTAGTTTACTGGCTGGAAAGATGGCAACGAGGGTATCAAGGGTTGGATATTCCAAAGGTCACAAGGTTTTTATGCAATTCTGGCATCTCTGTTAGTCCTATTCCATTCATCCATTTGCAAAGCATCACAGAGCTCCCTACATGTGCTGGATACTGGAGATCAAAGGATGAATAATGCCCCATGCCTGTTCTTAAGGACCTAACGATGCCACGCAATTACTGTTTACTATAATATTGTCTCTCTTGGGCAAACTCCTCATCCTCAAATCTGGCTACCAGAGAGGCAACTGCCAACACTCTGAGCCCAAGACATTGAAACAATGGAGAATATCCACGAGCACAAAAAATACTTTTGGCCAGGAGTGGTGGCTCACAGCTATAATCCCAGAACTCTGGGAGGCCAAGGCAGGCTGGTCACTTGAGCTCGGAAGTCCAACACCAGCCTGGGCAACCTGGTGAAACCCCATCTCTACAAAAAGAATACAAAGTTAACTAGGTATGGCATGTGCCTGTAGTCCCAAGTACTCGGTTGGCTTCAGCCTCCGAGGCAAAGCTTGCAGTAAGCCGAGATCGTGCCACTGCACTCCAGCCTGGGCAACAGAGCCAGACCCTGTCTCAAAAACACACACACACACACATACACACACACGTACAAACAAAACACACTTTTTAAACAAATTAATAATTAAAAAACCTCGAGCAAATCTGATTAAGGAAAAAAATGGAGAAAGGAAGTGAGAAGGGAAAGTTGTACACCATAAGTCTTAACTAGAAAAACAGCAGAGTTTTTACAAATTATTTCAAAAATACTACAAGCAGCATACCACTGATACATTTGAAACTTATAAAATGAATAATTTGAAAGAAATAAAAATGGCCAAAATTGGCATAAGAAGAAAAAACGTTAGACTTGAAAGTCTACTATCCATTAAAAATTGTATGAAATCTATATTATCCCCTCTCCTGACCATCGCACCCTGAGAGCTTAAAATTTTAGAAACCTGTTATATCAAACCTTTAAGGTACAGGTAAATCCAGTGGTCTACACATTACTTTAAAGAATAAGAAAGGTGGGGCATAATCCAAATTCATTTGAGGCTAATAAGACCTTTGTACCGAAATCCACTAAGAATAATACCGATTAAAGAAATCTATATAAAAAAATAGACAAAAGTATGAAATGGAAAACTAGGAAGTCAGATTCAGTAATATTTTAGAAAATATATTATGAAAGGATAGGATGAATCTAAGGAATGCAAGGATGGTTCCATATCGGAAAACCTTTTAGTATAATACACCACATTAAAAGAGAAAATTACATAATTTGCTAAATATATTCTGAAAAAAATCAATCCTCATTTGTCATTCAAATTGTCATTAGAAGAGGAATTGAAGGGAACTTTCCAAGAGAATTTATAGATAAGGTTTTAGGACTAATAAGAACAGTCAGTGAGATTCCAAAATATAAAAGATCAGTAGTGACTTCTGCTTTTGAGAGAGATATAATAGGTCACAGTAAGACGGCATTTGTGGGGGTCCAAAGTGGCTCCCGCCGGAGGTCATGGCGCTCGCGAAGGCGAGGTCATCAGTTCAAGGGTAACCTGAGCAACCTCATAAGCTCAAACTGATTGGCAAAAAAATAAAAAAGACAGCATTTGTGCTGACAGGTAGAAAACACTGGATGAATACAGAAACAGTATTTTTAAGGGAATCTAGAACTGTGAAAGCAAAGAAAGTAAGTATAAGGCTACAGTTCCAGAATAATAAGAACCATTCAGAAATGGGCAGTTTCAACCTGGAGGAATTACTGATATTGGGCTCAGGCTGAGAATCTTCACTCGCCCAGACAGAGGGTAACTGAGGGGGGAAATCCAAAACAGTGGAGTCTAAGGGTGGGCAGTGGGAGTGGTCTGCCCGAGGTGCAGGCAACAGTTCACGCAGACATAGTGGAGAACTTACAAACAATAATAGGGCCGGGTGTGGTGGCTTACGCTTGTAATCTCAGCACTTTGGGAGGCCGAGGCAGGCGGATCACCTGAGGTCAGGAGTTCGAGACCAGCCAGACCAACAGGGAGAAACTCTGTCTCTACGAAAAATACAAAATTAGCCAGGCGTGGTGGCGCGTGCTTATGATCTCAGTTACTCTGGAGGTTGAAGCAGGAGAATCACTTGAACTCGGCAGGTAGAAGCTGCAGTGAGCCGAGATCACGCCACTGCACTCCAGCCTGGGCAGCAAAAGAGAAACTCCATCTCAAAAAAAAAAAGTAAGAAAAAAAGAAACAATGATAAAACTGTCAATCTACTTTTCATTATCACCATGAGTCAGTAACTCTAAACAAATACAGAGAAAAACACTCCCGTCCCCCAATTTTTTTTTATAAGTTCTAAACAATTGCTGCACTGACTGTTAAGGTTTAATAATAAATGTAAACTTCAGATTAGCACATTTTAAAACTTATCTTTTAATGAATATTGTATTCTTCACAGAAGCTAATTCAGAAAACTCAAGCATATAGTCAGCTTTGACTATATATACAACTTTGGCTAAAGGCATTCATTCAAAAGGAAGTTCATAATGACTCCAAGTCAACTGCGCTTATTTGGGCTGAAGTGTGTGTCTCCCACCTCTGCACTACTTCATATTCCTCCACTTAAAGAATAGATTTCAAATAAGCAATGATAGTAAATAACTTGAGTTACTTAAATTCCATCCTTCTATATGAGACCACTTGGAGATTTTACTTATGTTAAATTTTTAGACAGTTAAGTTTAAAAACAGAGCATAGGCCAGGTGCGGTGGCTCATACCTGCAATCCCAGCACTTTGATAGAGTGAGGCAGGTGGATCTCCTGAGGTTAGGAGTTCAAGACCCTCCTGGCCAACATCATAAAACCTCATGAAAAATACAAAAAATATTAGCCAGGCATGGTGGTGCACACCTATAATCCCAGCTATTTGGGAAGCTAGGGAGAAGAATTGCTTGTACCTGGGAGGTGGAGGTTGCAGTGAGCCAAGATCACACCACTGCACTCCAGCCTGGGAGACATAGGGAGGCTCTGCCTCAAAATAAAATAAAATAAAAATAGAGCATTAACTATGAGAAGTAATAGTTTTGTTTAGTATGTACAAAGTTAAGTTCACCTGGAAAATATTGAATTTGAAGGGCATTTATTAAATGGAAAAATTTAACAATTAAATCTAATTAACAATTTAAAATTTAATTGACAATTTAAAAATTTAGTCGTTATTTATTGTAAGACCAAAGAACAAATTAAGAAAATAATAACTGTTTCTGATTGTTATATGGTTATTACTCAAAATTATTTTATCATATGAGAAAAGAGGCGGTGTTAATAAATTATTCACTCTGGGTGGTCAACACGTGAGGGGAGGCGCAGCACTGGAGAAACAAGAAAGCTTTCGGCAGTTGTAGGGCTGGGGTGATAAAATTTGAAATTTTAAACGCCAGTTTTCTCTACCCACAAAATGTTTTCTTATGACTTTCACTACTTCCTGGGAGGCCAAAGACCATGGACAAAAGCTTCTGAAAAGCAGAGTGAAATTTCCCACAGTATCACAATACAACCAACCCTCGGTATCCACGGGGCACTGGCTGCGGGACCCACCTCCCGCCCGCCACGGATACCAAAAGCTGAGGAAGCTCAAGTTCCTTATATAAGCTACATGCATACGTCTTCTGATATACTTTAAATCATCTCTAGATTAGTTATAATACCTAATCCGATGGAAATACCACGTAAATAGTTATGGCTGTACTGTCTTTTATTTGTGGCTTTTAAATCGTTGTATTATTTTTTATGGTTTTTCTTTTCTAAATATTTTTATCCAGAACTTGTTGACTCTGCAAATGTGGAACCCGCAGGTCTCAAGGGCTTGCTATGCTTAAGAAAAAAGACTCTCCAGGAAAAGGGGGATGGCAAAGTAGAAACAGGGGAACCAGAGAGGAAAGTACCAAAGTGAACGGGGAATATTAATGTGAGAGTGCCCAACTCCGCCTGGTTGGCCTGGGGCTATTTCAGTTTTGTTTTGTTTTTTCTGAGGTGGACTTTTGCTCTTGTCCCCCAGGCTAAAGTGCAATGGCACTATCTCAGCTCACCCACAACCTCTGCCTCCCGGGTTCAAACGAGTCTTCTGCTTCAGCCTCCTGAGTAGCTGGGATTACAGGCGCCAGCAACCATATCCAGCTAATTTTGTATTTTTAGTAGAGACGGGGCTTCACCATGTTGGTCAGGCTGATCTCGAACTCCTGACCTCATGTGATCCACCCACCCCGGACTCCCAAAATACTGAGGCATGAGCCACCAAGCCTGGTGCTATTTCCGTTTTAAAGCAGAAAGTCCTGTGTGCCAAGAATCCGCTCGGTCCCAGGCAAACTAGCGTGGTTGGTTACCTCCATGAACACGGAGAATCAAGGACTCTTTCCCCTGAGAGCATTTGCTTATCCAGGAATAGTTGGCAGCTGAGACCTCAGGACTGGATCCTAGGAGAAGAAAACTGTTGGGGAAGTGAGGAATCAGCAGAGATGCAGACATTTAATCAGAACAGCTGTGAGCAGCTGGAAACTGAGGCGTCACCAGCACAGGGATACATTCCCCCTTAAGTTACTTGTTGAAGTTGTGCGGGCATCAGACTAAAGAGCTACACTGAAAACCTCTGAAGGGCAGAACAAAATCTTCGTGAGCCTGGCAAAACTGAGGATAAAAGTATCTGCTAGCCTTTCAGTTGAAAACACTAGAGGGCTGTGCCCAGAAACAGGGCAAATCAGAGGCACACTAGACCTTACTGACTGCAGCCTCACAACAGCAAATACAAGTGCTGGCCGGACTGAGGTGACTCCACCCTGTCAGAGGAAAGCCATTGTGGTAGCCTCCGGCAGACAATAACTTAAGGTAATATTCTATCATTTATCATTTCCAACATAACATTTAAAAGTAGCAGACATGTGAATGTGCGAGATGCTATGAAATAAAAAACAGACAGTAGAAGAACTACAGTTGACAAAGTTATTAAAATGAGCAGATGAGGACTTTTAATAACTACGATTTTTAACAAAATAGATTAGAAGATGAAGAATTTCGCCAAAAAAAAAATGGAGGCTATTTTTCAAAAACAATCCAATGAACATTCTGGAACTGAAAATAAAATATTTGAAATTAAGAACTCAATGGACGCAGAATTTTTTTTTTTTTTTTTTTTTTGAGACAGAGTCTCTGTTACCCTGGCTGGAGTGCAATGGCGCAATCTCGGCTCACTGCAGCCTCCGCTTCCTGGGTTCAGGCAATTCTCCTGCCTCAGCCTCCTGAGTAACTGGGATTACAGGCACGCGCCACCGTGCCCAGCTAATTTTTTGTATTTTTTTTTTAGTAGAGACGGGGTTTCACCATGTTGACTAGGACGGTCTCAATCTCTTGACCTCGTGATCCCCCCGCCTCGCCTCCCAAAGTGCTGGAATTACAGGCTTGAGCCACCTCACTCAGCCGACGCAGACTTTTTAAATGACAGAGGAGTGAATCCTCCTACAGATAACAAATATAAGTACTAGATAAAACAAAATCCATCTAAAGATGCTAGAGATGAAATTGACCCCGAAAGATGCAATTAAAAGTGGTAGAAATTGCAGTTTGTGACTTTCTAACTTGAGGATACTCCCCAAACCTCAGAGCTGTGTATGTAATATATATTATATACATACAATATATACATGTTATATATACATGTAATTTGACTAGTACAAATATATCTAGGAATGACCACATGAGTGGTCATTCCAATCCTAGATTAGAATAGAAATAGAGTGGTCATCCATATATCTTTTCCTGTGCTTATTTGCTGTTTACTATATCTTCTTTGGATACTTGAAAAGATATTCAGTATCCTTATTCATTAGGGAAATAAAAATTAGTACCACAATAACGTGCTACTGCACACTTATGAAAATGACTGAACTTCAAAAACAAAACTGCCCGTACTAAGTGTTGGTAAAGACATGGAGCAGGGGAACTCTATACACTGTTGATGGGAATGTAAATGGAACAACAACTCTTTTGAAAAAGAGTTGAGCCACTTCCAGAAATTTAAACATATACCTACCATATGATACAGTCATTCCATTCCTGGATATTTGAATTAGTCAGGGTTCACCACAGAAACAGACCAAAATATTTCTAAATTAATATTTATACACACATAGAAAAAGATTTATCATAAGGAAAGTGATTTATAATAAGGACTCACACATTTATGGAGGCTGAGAAGTCCCAAATCTGCAGTCAAGATGGTAGAGACTCAGGAGAGCCAATGTATGGTTCCACTTCAAGTCCTAAGAGAGCAGAGATTTCAGTTTGAGTCCAAACACCAGTAAAAACCAGTGGTCCAGCTCAAGCATTCAGGCAAGAGGAGTTCCCCATTACTCAGTCTTTCTGTTCTATTCACATCTTCAGTGGGTTGGATGAGGTCCACCCACATAACGGAGGGTGATATGGTTAGGATATTTGTCCCATCTAAATCTCAGGTTGAAATGTAATCTCCAGTGTTGAAGGTGGGACCTGGTGGGAGGTGTCTGGGTCATGGGGACAGATCCCTTATGAATGGCATGGTGCCATCCCTATGGAAATAAGTTCACATGAGATCTGGTTACTTAAAAGAGCCTGGCACCCCCACCTCTCTCTTGCTTCCTATCCCACCACGTGACCACCTGCTGCCCCTTTGCCTTCTGCCATGACTATAAGATTCCTAAGGCCCTCACCAGAAGCAGATGCCAGCACTGTGCCTCTTGTACGGACTGCAGAATCCTAAGCCAAAATAAACCTCTTTTCTTTATAAAGTACCCAGTCTCAAGTATTCCTTTATAGCAACATAAATGGACTGACAGAGAGGGAAATCTTCTTTACTCAGTCTACTGATACAAATGTTGTCATCCAGAAACACCCACACAGATACACCCAGAAAAATGTCTGGCTAAATGTCTAGGCAACCTCTGGCCCAGTAACTTTGACACATAACTTAACCATCACAGTATTTACCCAACAGACAAAGCACATGTACCTACATGGACTTGTACATAAATGTTCACAGCAGCTTCATTTGTTATAGCTCAAAACTGAAAACAACCCAAATGTCCATCAACATGTGAAAGGATAAAAAGGTTGTGGTATATCCACACAATGAAATATTATTCAGCAACAAAAAAAGAGAGAAATGAACTGTTGATACCTAAAACATATGAATGAATCTCAAAATAATTCTTCTATATGAAAGAAGCCAGAAAATAAAGAGTACATAATATATGAGTATAGTACAGACTGTATTTATATAATCCATAGTGACATAAAGGAAATCTGTGATTGCCTAGAGTTGGAGAGTTGGGGTGGAAAAGTAGGAGAGAAAAACTAAAAGGGGCACAAGGAAAATTTGGAAATGATGACTATGTTCATTATCTTAAGTACAGTGATGATTTCACAGGTAAATAAATATGTCAAAACGTATCAAACTGTGCTCCTTAAAAATCAGTAGTATATTGTATGTCTGCTGTAACTCAGTAAAGTTATTAAAGAAGCACAACATGTTACAATATGTGGCATATTGGTAAAATAGTGGTTAGAGGGAAATTTATAGATGTAAATGTTTATATTAGAGAGAGTTAAAACTCAATTATCTAAGCTCTCACAATTATCTCAAAAAGGAGGACAAATTAAATATAAAATAAGAATGGCGTAATGATCAATAAAATGCAATTTAAAAAGTTAAAAAAAATCAATAAAATACAAAACAGATGAATACCAAAGAAAACCAATGAAACCAAAAGCTCATTATTTGAAAAGATCAAGAAAGGTGGTAAACCTAAAGTCAAACTCTGCATGGAAAAAAGAAAGACGGTACAAGTTATCAATATGGAGAACATAAGTGGAGATATCACAACAGATCCTACAGACATCCTAAAGACTCAAATGCCAAACTTGGCATTAGGAAAAAAATAGAAATCTGAATAATCTTACATGTAGAAAAGAAATTGAATTTGTAATTTAAAACATTCCCACAAAGAAAACTCCATGAAAAGACTGCCAAACTGATTAATTCTATTATATGTTTAAGGAAGAAATAATACCAGTTTTACACAAACTCTTTCAGAGTATAAAGGTTAGAATAAACAAATAGAACATAATTTCATGAGGCCAGTATTACCCTGATATCAAAAGTAGATGAAGAAAATACAGAAAAAGGACATTGCATGCCATTATTTATTATGAACGTAGGTGCAAAGGTTCTGAACAAAGTATTATGAAGATGAGTGCAGCAATATATGAGAAGATAACACATCATAACATAACCAAGTGAGGTTTAACCCAGGAATGCAAAGTGACCTAATATCTGAAAATTAAACAACGCAGTTCATAATTTTATGAGAATAAAGGGAAAAAGCTTCATATGATTGTTTCAACTGATAGGGAAAATGATTTTCAAATTTAGCAGCCATTTGTGATTAAAAAAAAAAAACTTCCAACAAACTGTAGATAGAAAAAAACCTTTCTCAAATTTACAAAGAACGTGTAAAAAAAACCACAACTAACAAAATTAATGCTGGAATAGTTTTCATTCTCTCTAAGATTGGAATTGAGACAAGAATGTCCACTCTTACCACTTCGCTACTTAACATTGTCCCAGCTATCATAGCCACTGAAATAAGTTAAGAAAAAGAAAAAGAAATAAAAGGCATACAAACTGGAAAGGGAGAAGTGCAGTTGTTTCTATTTACTGCCCTTATAATGGGTGAATTTAGCAAAAATCAATAGTGTTTTTACACACTATCATTGAACAAGTAGAAAATAAATTTTTTAAATGCAATTTTAATTCCAATATCACATAAATATGTAAAATATTTAAGAATAATGTAATAAATATATGTAAAACTTGTACTCTAAAATCACTAATATATAAATTATAAAACTATAAAATTAAAGCTTTATGAAATGCATAAAAATTATAGAATTTATTTTAAACATTTATAGTTTTGTATAGTTTAATATAGTAATTACTTAAATGTAAAGGAAATAAATATTTCAAATAGAAGGCAAAGATTGTCAGACTCAGTTAAGAATAAAAGTATATGCTGCTTATAAGAGACATTTTAAATATAACCATATAGAAAGATTGAAAATACAGAAATGTAAAAAGATGTGCTAGGTAAACATTAACCAAAGAGGAAGCTGGTTCAGCCATTTCATATCAAAGTAGATACTGAAGGCAGAAAGTAAAACTGAAAATATGGAAGAGTAAATCCAAGCGGAAGATGAGTCACAATCCTGAACCGGCATGCAGCCAGTAGCATAGCTTCAAATTTTATAATGTAAATAGTAAACTGAGAGAAATAGATATATGCATAATAATGTGGAAATAATTTAACACATCCTCCTCAATAACTGATAGAGCAATAAAACAAAAACCCAGCAATGACAAAGGTCAGAATAACACAGTTAACTTTGAATGGACTGACGAACAGAGACCATTACACCCAACATGATACATTCTTTTTATATCTACATGTAACATTTACCAAAATGACTAAATGCTGGATCAAAATTTGGAGTATTTTTTCTGAGCCCAAAAGAAATAGTAATTAAGTTAATACCAAATGAATCACCAAGAAATCCCCAATTGCTTAGAAATTAAACAACATACTCCAATCTCTGCATCAAAAATCAAGAAGAAAAATTAAAATTATTTTAATTAATGATACTGAATCTATGGCATATCAAAACATGAGATGCAGGCAAAACAGAGAATACAGGAATCTCCATATCCTCAAATGTATATATTGTTAAAAAGAAAGAGAAAAATTAGTAATTTAATCTTCTTTCTCAAAGAACCAGAACAAGACTAAATCAAATGCGAGAAGAGTAGAAGAAAGGAAATAATACAGATAGCAGAAATTAAATGAAAGTGTTCAAAACAAAACAGTAGTAATGCTAGAAGTTACTTTATAAACTTGTTAATGTTAACAAACTTGATAGATTTTAGGCAAGAGCAATTAAGAAAAAAGGAGAGAGAAACCTGTCAATACTGTAAAAAATAATGAGCGACATCACTTCAAATTCTATAAATGTCTAAAAGATAAAAAGATATTATAAAGAGTTTAAACTAATAAATTTGACAATTTGAATTGCAACGGACAAATTCCTCAAAAAAATCCACCTTTGCAATGCTAACAAAAGAATAAATTAAAAATCTGAACAGTCTAAAATCTATCAAAAAGTTTAGCATATTATTTAAAACTTCTCATAAGAAAACCTCAAATCTAGATAAATTCAGTCAACTCTTCTTTATATTTAAGGAAAAAAATAACACTAATTTTCCACAAACTATTACAGATAGTATTTTTTTATTTTTATTTTTTGCCAAGCTAGAGTACGGAACACATAGCATTTTTTAAAACACTTCCCAATATCGTTCATGGGGCCAGAATAACTTTGATCTTGAAACCAGAAAAGCACAAGAAAGGAAAATTACAAACTAGGCTTTCTCATGAACTTACAGGCAAAAAGCCCAAACTTAATTTTGCAAATCAAATCAGTGATAAATAAAAGCTATGATACATCATGACTAATTGATGTTTATTCTAGAAATACAATGATGAAAATCATGTAGTGCAATTTTCCACTTCAACAAGAGAGAGAACAATTATATAATCACCTCGGTAGATACAGAGCATCATTTGACAAAATTCAATGAACATTTATGGTGAAAGCTTTTAGGTAGAAATAGTGGGGAATAATCTTTAATTTGGTAAAAAACAAATGAAATAAAGAGCAAATATTATTCTTAATGGTGAAACATTGAAAGATTTTCCCACAAAATAAGAAACTAAACAGGAATGCCTACTATCACCAAGCATTATCTTCTTCTATTCAGTACGTATTTTGTATTCTAGCCAAAACAGAAGGAAAGAATAAGAAATTGATGGCTTAAGGACTGAAAGTGAAGAAATCAACTTGTCCTTATTCACCGGTAATACGATTGTATATATAGAAGAGCCAAAACAGCTTTAAACTATCAGCATTACCAGTTTAATTTAACAGTGTTACTGGATACAGGATCAATATACGAAGATCAATTTTATTTCTATATATCAGCAATAAACAAATTGAAAATAAAATTTAAGAGAATCATAAAACTATAACAACATACAAAATATCAAATGCCTAGAAATAAACCTAATGAACCAAGTTAGCTACACTAAAAACTACAAAACATTATTGAAAGTGAGAGATGAAAAGAGGAACTGTTTCTTAAGTTGTGCTGGGACAATTGGATGCATATCTGAAA